GCCCCCCCCCCCCCCCCCCCCCCTCTCTCTCTCTCTCCTCCCCCCTCTGTCTACCTAGCTACCGAAATGCACACGGTCGTTCTCTAAACACTGGTTTCAATTCAGTCACGGTAAAAATATTCATCCTCCGTCTGCAAGAGACACCACACACACCGCGCACACACAACAGGCGGGAAGTCATCAATTGACAAGCGGGGGCGCTCTCACTTACCACACATAACCCCTTGTCGCAAAGGCATTTGCCTCCGGAGTAAACACCGCACTGAGCTCCATACACCTTCTGAATTCCATCCTCCTTCCCCTGGTTCCCCTGGCAGACGCCGTTGTTGTACGCAATCGTGCACTCTGACACACACACACACGCGCGCGCACACACACACACACACACACAAACGAGCGCATGAACGGAGTCCGCACATATCATGAGTTAGTTCGTTACGTACGCTAGCCGGTGCGCCCCTTGGCGATCGATCGCATCAGTCGGTGGGCGCTGTTGATGCTGTCGAGGGCGGTCTGGGCCATCTTGTTGGCCGCCACCATCATGGTTTTGGCCTGCTGCACCTGCTGCTGCGCAAACGACAACGCACCTGCACAGACACAACACACACACACACACACGCCATGGGCACAGATCCATCCATAGATGCATTCCATCCCTTACCTGTGTTGCTATGGGTGCCCAGGTGGGAGATCTCGCCAGTACGGCCGACAAACGACGCACCTGCACACAGCGGACGGGTAGGTCAGCCACATGTGAGCCAGGAGTGATGTGTGTGCAATAGATCTCGCCCTGGGATCTCGCTCGGGCAGGTGCATTCGCCCACCATAAAGGTCGGTATTGCAGTCGTTGCCAACGCAGTTGCCCTTGCCAGAATCCACCGCCACAGCCGACACGGTCGCCAACGCAATGAGGACCGCATACTTGCTCGCCATGACCGTCATCGCTGCCAACAAACGACTGCGTATCGCTATCTCGGATGCGCAAACTGGGCAGACAACTAAGGATCTCTGAGTGGACGCAGAGAAAGCGAGAGATTTGGGAGGGAACTCGGTGTTTTTTCGGTAACCACGAAGTTTACGAAGAGGAGGCGGCTTTTGTTTGCGCTTGGTGGTTGTATGTGCTTCGTTCGTAGTCTTCCTTGACCTGCCTACCTGCTCTGTCTGCAACAAGTCAGTCAACAATCGTCGCGTGCAGTGTCGGTGTCGCTTTAGTGATGGGTTGGAGGGGAGGTGTGTGAATTGGTGTGTGCGTGGGACGGACGGTATGTACATATGAATCAACACAGTGAGGTGAAGCGTTTCGACACCCATCGACTGTGCGGGCAGCAAGCAGAGGCACCTTGCTTGTCGAAGCTTTCATCAGACATTCACTGTCTGGTCAGAGTAACTGTAACAGATCGTTGAACCAGCCACCCATCCACCCACCGGTCAGGCAGGCCTGTCCGTTTCACCATCCATCCATCCAGCGCACACTATGCTCCCTGCGTCCCTCTGCATAGCTACTACAGCCATCACTCACTCTCTCGGCGCATAAAGCGCCTCACCGGCCCGACCTACCCAGGCAGCTAAGCTACGGTACCTGCACACGCCCATATATAGCACCAGAGAGACACATGGTCGGGAGAGCACCAAGGCACAAAAAACAGACATGTCTGTATGGTATGCAATCAATATACAATTGTATGTACACCCACAGATACCCCACACCTACCGACATTTATTCGCACATGAAAACACGAGCACACACGTGCACACGGGGATGGATGGATCGATGGATGGATGGATGGAAATGCCCAAAATCCGACGAGACGCGGATGCTGTCGTTCGGCGGGTACTGTACTTACCTCCAAAACCGCCTGTGTGGCTAGCATTGACACAGAAGACACAAGATCGATCCCCCCCGCCCCCTCGCCCTCGTCCACATCACACCGCCCGCAGTAGTGCAGTCACAGTGACAATGAGGCCACCCCATATCAAGGCCGCATCACGCAAACACTTCTGGCCACCAGGGCATGCACCGCTCGTTGCAAGAGCGCTGACGACCTCATCGCCATGACCATTCTCCACGTCCACCCCTTTCCCGGCCTCAGTCTCACTGACACCCACCCCATCGGCCTCATCAGCGGCAAACAACTCAGGCAGCCGCCCACACATGTCAAACTCCTTTGGCGGCGGCTGCACCAGCTCCGGCTGGACAGAAAAGGTGAAGCCCATGCCCATCGCGAGGTGCCAGTCGATGTGGCAGTGGAAGAGCCACATGCCGGGGTTGTCGAACTTCATCCTCACCACCACCCACCCCTCGACGTCCTGCGGCTCGCCCTCGACCACACGGGCGGGCAGCAGGGTGGCGGTGTCCCGCTTGATGGGGTTGACGGTGTTGAGGTTCGTCTCGTCTTTGGCTGCGTCGTAGGAGCCATAGCCGTGGCCGAGCACCCAGAAGTCGTAACCGTGGCTGTGCCTGCATCCATCCATCCATCCATCCGTCCATGCGTGTGGCGTGCCTACCATGGGTGCTGCTCAGAGATGCCGTTAATCGCGTAGGAGTTCTGCACAAGCAGCACAGCACAGCACCCTCAGCTTAGTCACGCCGGTATGTGCGTACGTCAGTCCTCGTGTGTGAGTGAGTAGCTGCATACGTGTATGGCGAGATCGATGACTTCCCCCAGCTTGACGTCCACAATGTTGCTCATCCGGCGATCCTCCTCCGTCAGCGCATCCGCCTTCGACAGCCACAGCAGCTGCACACACACACACGCACACGCAGCACACAACACACACAGAGGATACGTGCTGCTGTGTGCGTGTGTGTGGTGCTCATGGATACCGCACGCACCGGTGCGTCAGGCAGTTTCAGCATGTCCCCGTTGATCTTCCACACCACGTGGTCGTTCTCCTTCCAGTGCGTGCCGTTGACATAGATCAGTCGGTCGGCGGGGGGCGGCGCCTCCGTGTGGTTGGCAAGACCAACCTGCACACATTCCAGCCGCCAGCCCAGATGAATGTATATCAGTGGACTCCCTCTCTCTCTCTCTCTCCTCCGCTAACGCACCACTTCGTCTCTGTTGTCCATCGACCACCGCTCGTTGACGTGCTGGTCGATCTCCGGCAGCACGCCCTTGACCACAAACCCCTCCGTCAGGTTGGAGCTGTTGGTCGCCGTCCAGTGGCTCGACGGTGGGTCCTCGACCGGTGCGCCCTTGTAGCGCACAATGAAGTGGCCCCAGAGGTCGGCATTTCTGTGGCGGATCTCCAGCCGGCCCCAGTAGCTGCCGATGGGCTGGTCAGCCTTGAGCAGCACCGAATACCTGCAGCCAGGCCAGGCAAAGAGGTGTGACTGACTGGATGCACACGGAGGGGGGCGACGGGTATACCCTTACCTTGCGGCAACGTTGATTTCGAGAGCGTTGACTGTTTTGGGCTGTGTGTAGTGTCCCTCGGCCTCCACAATGGTGAGGGGGTGATCGTCGATGCCCATCGATAGCATCATCAACGGACCTGCACCAACAACAAACAGGTCACCACACCCCACCCACCGACCCACCCTCCCTCCCGTGTCGTGTAAGCTGTCGGCTGACCGAAGTTGGCCACTCGCAGCCTGTATGTCTTGCCCTGCTCCACTTCAATCACCTCATAGGGACACGCCTCGCACACCGACACGTCCAGGTCCGTCACAGTCGCATTCTGACCGATCAAACGAGGGACCACACAGGGTGGATGGATGTGTACGTCTCTCTGCTCTTGGCTCCCTCTCTGACTGACTGACCTCCATGCAGAAGTCCTTTGACTTGCCGTTGACGAGAATGCTCTCAGCGTTGCCGGCCCACTGGAAGGGCGCAGACATCAGGCCATGCACCAGCTCCTGATAGCCCTTGTGATACCTGTAAAACCCCACCACTGACTAAGAGAGAGAGCCTCGCACGGCAGAATTCCTGTCTTGGCACGCACCACTCATGCAAGACGAGAGGCATCTCCTCGTCGTAAGCAAACGGCTCCTGCTCGCCATCAGGAGCCTCGATGATGAACAGCCCCGCGGCGCCCATGCTCTTCTGTCCGACGGTGTGTGAGTGCCACCAGTGTGTCCCGGGCTCGTCGTTGGCGTGGAATCGGTATGTGAAGGTGTCCATGGGGGCGATGGGGCACTGCGTGACGTACGGGGTGCCGTCCATCCAGGGGCTGCCGCGCTGGAACTGACCGTGCCAGTGAATCGACGTCGACTCTGAGCACACGGACGGAGGGAAAGACAAACCAATGGCGTGTGTGGGTGAGGCGCGGCGCGGCGTGTAGTGTGGGCACCCGCAGGCATGTTGTTCTTGACGTGCACAACGACTTCCTCGCCAGGCTTGACACGGATCTCGGGACCGGGGTTCATACCTGAAGTGCAGGGCAGCAGACATCACACGCGCAACATTGCAATGCAACACAGAGGGCGTCACTGACTGGACGGACCCGTGGGCGGCCGGTGCTCACTCACCGTTGACAAGAATCGAGAACCGCTCGTGGCAGTCCCCGCTGAAGTAGCCGTATGACACATCGAAATGGTACTCCTTCAGGCACATCCCCGGCACAGCCAACACGGCAGCAGCCACCGCAACGGACACCAGCACACGCAGCATCTCCACTCACTCAGACAACACCGGAACCTCACAGAAGGTGGCCGCAGCGCACTAAGCTTCACAGAAACATATCTTCCGACGGCCGCCTCCTCCAATGTCCACAGAAGACAGCTCTCTCCCGCATCTATAATTTCCGCAGCACCATCTCTCCGCTGCGCTAGGCGCCTGAAGCAGCAGGGCTCCTTAATTCCGCGCAGCACAACGCCGTCCGGCACCTGCCTCTTCTGGTTCAAAGCTGAGCTTGCAGACCTGCCCCTTGTAAACTGATCTGAAAAGGGCCTGAGAAATGTTGGCTGCTGGCTGTTTTGTGGTGCTGGCAGCGCTCCTTTTGCATCGTGGCACGTGTGCAACGATACGTATGGGCGAAATTACACAATAATACGCGATGTCTTGGGGATCTCTGTGTTTCTGTGGGTGTCTGGGTGGCTGTGTGATGCAGGCGCCCGGCTGAGTGTGCGTCAGCGCCGTGCAGTCAGCATGCCGGTGGCCGAGGCCATGATGCACGTCCAACACATCCTCCCCACAGACGTGCAGCAGCTGTTCCTACACGACAACCGCAAGTTGAACCACCATGGTGAGAGGACCCTGGCTGTGATTGACCAGATGAACGGCTTGGCACGGAATATCCAGGAAGAACTCGATGCGACAAAGCTGCAGTGCGATCAGTCACTGCTGGTGCTGGACGATGCTGTGCGTCAGCTCGGTGAGGACCAGGGTCGGCTGGAGACCGACCTGGGCTACGAACAGAGCGGCCTCACCGAGTGGGAGTCGCGGAAAGACAGCGCCGCAACGGTGTTGTCAAAGACCTTGGTATGTAGGTCGATGTGTGGGCAAGCGGGTGGGTGCACATGTGCACACAGGCGAGCATGATCCATCCATCACGCCTTGTGGATGTCTTCTGCTTCCGCACTCAGAGTCAGTTGGATGAGCACAATGCCTTCTGCCAGCATGAGGCCAGCGGCATCCGCGCCAAGCTCGCCAGTGCAAACAGCGATTTTCGTGTCAGCCAAAGCGTCATCGGCCACACCAACTGCAGACATAACAACAGCGGCAATAATAATACAGCCACAGCCAATGCTGTCCTGCTCGAAGCTTACATGGACAGCTGCCTCAGTGGAACACACAACCAGCCGTCCCACCATGTGCTATCTGGTCTATCTGAGGGCCGGGAACGGCAGCTGTGGACTTCACTGATGCAAGCCGCCGCACACAGGCCTCGTGGTGAGGCCACCACGCCGATGCGCGATGAGAGCATCCCGACCAGCAAGTGCAGCGTGGGCGGGTCTGCGCTGTGTCCCGTGCTGTTGAACTCTTTTGCCGTCCTCATCGGCGAGACATACAGGGACATCAGACGGCTGAATAGGCACGCACACAAGAAAAAAGATAGGGAGGGAGGGAGGGAGGGCTGTATACAAAGAGCACCCGTCATCTCTCTCTCGCTGCGTGTGGCTGCCCTTGTGCGTCGCGCTCAGGCGTCTGGAGCAGTTGTCGTCAGAGTGTGACTCTGGCCGTCAGCGGTTCAATCAAAACATAGCGGGGCTGCAGCGCGCCATCGACACGGCCAACGCACAAGTCGCATCTCACGATGCACGCATAGAACGGCTTAGGACTGACCTGCGGCTGGCAAGACGGTAACCATAGATAGAATGAACGACGCATCTACATCTACACATACACACACTCATTGTTGTAGTACGGCCACACAGAAGGCGGCGGAGCGTGCAGAGAAGGCCGAGGAGTGCCGGGAGGCGCAAGAGAAAGGTGTCTATCTACTCAGAGAGGGGAAGGTGCTAATATTCCTGCGTATGTGTCTCTTCTCTCCACCTCTTTGTTTCTCTCCTGGTGAGTGCAGCCGAGACGAGCATGTGTGGCATGATCAAGATCCGAGGCGAGATAGCAATCATGGCCAACACTACCGAACTCATTCAAGTGACTGACTCAATCGGATCCATGACATACATGGCATCTCTATGTTGGCCTCTGTGACTCTGTCTGTCTGTCTATATTCATCTTGTGGGCTGGGCTGCATCGTATCAATCAATCAGGATTGTGAGGTCAGCAATTGGCAGTACGGTGAGTGTAGTGCATCGTGCGGCGACCACGGGGGCCTCCAGAACATCACACGCAGTGTCGTGTCTGAGGCGACACCAAAACTCGGCACGCCCTGCCCCCCACTTAATGCTGTCATGGTGTCGTAACTTGCGACACACGTATGTATGCGTAGGGCGCATTTTGTCTTGATGTCTCCGTGTGTTTGTCAGGTGTGCAGCCGTCGTCCATGTCCCGTCGACTGCCAAATGGATGGATGGTCGGAGTGGACACGATGTTCTGCTGACTGCGGATACGGCACCAAATACTCGTATACTCACGCACGCACGCACACACACGACGTTGTCCCACAGACATGTAAATGACGCTGGCTGTCTGTGTCAGGTACCGGAACGTGTTGGTTGAGGCGCGTCATGGCGGCGCGGCGTGTGGAGCCCGCCAGCAGAGCACAGTGTGTGAGCGGCAGCCATGAGACACGGACTGCACCCTCACACAGTGGACAGAATACGGTCCATGCGACAGGGTGAGTGGGCTGAATGAATGAATGAGTACTTAGCCATGATGGATGATACACATGTGCGAATGGATGCACATCACATCACATGCATACGATACGATACGTATAGGCGTGTGGTGGTGGCGTCCGATCACGTCGGCGGGATGTGTTGGTTGAGGCCAAGGGCCGAGGCACATGCCCTGGCAAAGACAGCACTCACAGGTAAGTAGGTGTGCGCAGAGACACAATCGATTGATGGAGAGAGACCACCCAGCATGCGTGTACTTACGTGTTGGCTGACTGCGACAGGTATGAGGAGATCCCCTGCAACGCACACCCGTGTCCGCCGCACCCCGTGTGCCAGTCGAAGGCGGACATCGTCCTGGTCCTCGATGGATCGGGGTGACAAACTAGCCTCGCACACACACACACAGACACACACACACGCGGAATGAACATCATTCTATGTCTTTTTCTCCCAGGACGGTGCTGCTAGAGCATTTCGACAGCATCAAGGACTTGGCCAAGTCACTCGTCCGCCAGACCGCACTCAATGCCACAGCAGGCCACGCACAGGTGGGTGTGGTGGTGTTCTCCCACGAGGCAACCGTCGCCAGCCGCCTTACGGACGACCGAACCAGTCTCATCGGAGCCATCGACCACACCCAATGGGCGGGCAGGGAGGCAGCCACAGCCGATGCGCTGATCAAGGCAGAACAAGTGCTGCAAAACGGCGTGAGTGAGCCAAGAGAATTAGGAGAGAGCACGATTGTTCATCTGAGACACACGAGTATCACGTAGGGGAGAGAAGACGCTTCTTGGCTGGTGGTGCTGCTGACGGACGGGCTCCCCAGCGGCCGCATTCCCGAAACACCTGCTGAGAGCGGTGCTGCTGATGGGGCGGGTGCGAGTGGGTATATGCAGCTGTACCAGATGGATGGCGTCGCAGAGAGACTCAGGTGGATGGATGGGCGAATGAAATGAATGAAGGGATGGACGGACACAGAGAGAGTGTGTGTGTGAATGCAGGCGGAGCGCGTTGGTGAAGACCGTGTACATCGGGACAGATGCGGATGTGGCGGACGAATATCGCCGGTGGTCCCACGCACTCATCAATGTGCAGACGTTCGAACACCTCATACAGCCACAGGTAAGTACGGGCGCAGCAGATCCATCAAAACACCCTCCGATGCTTGTCAATCTGTTTGTCTGTCTGTCTGTCTGATCCGTGTGTTGTGCATGCATTTGGTTTGTGTGTTGGTGTGTGTATGTAGCTGGTTGACAGCCTGATAGTCTCCTTTTGTCCCGAGATAGCATAGCAGCTGGATCGACTCACAGTGCGTGAGGTGGACTGGATGGACAGATGACAGACTAAATAAAGCATTCACTCATTCATTCACATGATTGACTGACGCATGTCGTTCGGTCAATATGTCCATCCATGTCAATCAATTTAGCTAGCCAACACTCGGACTGTACACACGCGCGCACACGGTGGATCCACCCACCCCCCCCACCCGCCATCTGGTCGACCATGTATCTATCGCTATCCACAAAAGGCCACAGACCGAGAGAGAGGAGACGGACAACACACCGCCCGGGCACTTTTGGTGGATTGGTCACTCTCTCACTCTCTCAGCAAATGGCCAGCCAAGTGGCTCAGTACGAACACAGACAGGTATGTATGTATATTTATGTACGGCTTTCACACGTGCAGTCACGCAATACGGATCGGATGTGTGTGTATTTGCCCATCCCCCCCCCCCCACCCACACACCCACACACCGACCGACCGACCAAGACTCAACCATCAATCAATCAATCCCCTGTACACACATACATGTAATTAAGTATCCGCCCCTACCCCGCCCTCCCGCAGCTGGAGCTCACTTCATTGCTCAGACCTCCGTATCATATCCCCATCCCGCCCCCTCCTCCCCAGCTGAAGTATTACACTACCATACGGCGCGCATTGCAAGCTGTGGCGGCCTTTCTGCTGCTGTGCTACTGGGGTGGGGTGGGCGACAAGCATGCATTGATTCGGCCGCCCGCCCGCCAGTAGGCGCGTCGCCATCGGCCGGCCGCTGCACACACAGACACCATTCATACCAAGAGGAACTTTGGTAAAACCACGACCACCCACCCCATCCCAGCCAGCATTGAGTGGCGTATGGCTAGGCACTCAATGATAACCGACCGACCCACACAAAGAGGGAGGGGAGGGGAGTGGAGGAGGAAAGCGAGAGAAGGCGGCAGTACATAAGGCAAGGCAGCAGAGTCATATATAGGATCGGTGAGACTCACCCCTCTCCCTCCCTCCCCCTCAACAAACAGATAAATCTAGCTATCTATGTAGCTAGATCTCTCTCTATCTCTGCCCAATATGCATGCATACACACCGGGAGAGCTGCGCTGACCGTGGGTGGAATCTCTCTCTCACCCGTCGGGCCCGACGGACGGGTGAGGAAGGAATCACTCCCTCCATCAGCACAAATCTGATAGTGTGCATCCATCCCATCCAGACAGACAGGCAATCCGTTGGTTGCTATGCTATGTGCGTTAGTTATGTATATATAGTAAGTGAGCGGAGCGCCTCCACTCCAACCCTCTGCTCTTCCCTCCCTCCCTCCTCTGCTGGATAGGATGCCCCGCTGGCATCTGCATGGTATGTACAACGATCGGCCTCGATCGGTCGATGGCTACAGCTACCGCTACGACTCCGGCTTGGCACTGTCGCCGTCACCGGTGTGTCTTCGCGCCTCCTGGCTCATCACCTGACATAAACACACAGCCAGCCCATCAATCACAGAGAGAGGTGCTGTTTGTTTGTGTTGCCTGTTGCCGGCCAGCGGACGGTGCCGAGGTCGGTATGTGATGTGCTAATCAATGTACCTACCTTCTTCATCCACTCGTCGTCCATCCTGTAGAAGAGGATGCATATCTTCTGCGGCAGCCATGCGAAGGCAAACTTGTTCTCAGCTACACACACACACAGGGAACACGATTGACACATCCAATCCACCACCAAGCCCCTCCCACCCCACCTCCCAGCCAGCGCGCCTACTCACTCACTCAGCAAAATCAGCTGCCCCGGCACGGCATGCCCATGCGGACTATCGGGGTCGGCGCCATACAAAGCAGTGCCCTCCTGCCCACCACCACCACCAGCACCACCACTATGAGCACCGACAGCCGATGCAGATGCAGGAGGGGGTGGCTGGGTGTGGGATGGTGAAAGCGGTGGTGCCGATGGTGTGGCTGCTGTGTCGTCGAATGCTGCGGGGTCGATGGTAGGGTTGGTGGCGGTGGAATCGTCGATGTCTGATGATGCTGTGGGTGGTGGGGTGATGTCGGGTTTGGGGGGCACCACGCGGCGGCCCATGTGGCCCTCGCCCTCGAACACATACACCCAAAGGTCCTGATCGAGTGTGTCCATCCATCCATCCATCCATCCATCCATCCATCGCGGCAGGAAAAGGATGTCACGCGGTAGCTATTAGTGTGGGATGTTGCATTCATTGATTCACCCAGGTACCCACCCACCTGTTTTTCGTTTGATGGCCCGGTAGAGTTAGATCTGTAGAGGGTGACGAGAGTCGATGTGGTGGTGTCGGGACTCAAATTGGCCCTGCAGACAGACAGACACCACACAGACAGACAACCCATCTCATCTGTGTGGCCACTTAATTGTGTTTGTTTGTGTGCGTACCGGAATGTGACTCTCGAGTCGTGTTGTCCCTCTGCTGCATGTGTGTGTAGATCCACATCGCCATCTCCATGCTCGGCACCATGCAGCTGCAGCTTGCGGGCCTACATGCACATACACACACACAGAGACAGAGACACACATGGGATGGGCAGGCATGACCCGACCCGGCTACATCATGTGTGTCTGCGTGTCGTGTGTGCCCACCACGAGCCATTCGCCCTCGTAGTCGACGGTCTGCACACATACACACACGCACACACCAAGCATGCCCCCCCTGTCGGCATGGAGCTGGCTCCCCAAGACACCCCAAGCGTAGCGTACCACCATCTGCAGCCGATCGGGGTTGCCATACTCGCCAACCCAGACGCCCTTGAGGTTGAATTGTGGCAGGTAGGACCTCAGGCCGGAGAGCAGGTCACGCCAGCGGATGGCGCCCTCGAAATTGCGCTGACCGACTGCCTCGTCCATCTTGTCACTGGGGGCATTCATTCACGGGGGGCACACACCACACAACACCAAGACAGAAAGCGATGCGATAGGCTTCTGAGTATATGCTGCAGTCAGACGGACCTCATGGCCTTGAGGTAGCTGATGGGGTCTCGGAGCTTGAGACCCCGGATGGTGTCACGGAGGTTGGCCGCCTTCTCGTACTCCTGTGGGTCAAGGGGGATGGATGAGATGAGATGTGCTCGCAAGGCGCCCGCCTGGCCTGGCTATAGATTCACCTTGCTTACCTTGTTTTCGGCGGCTTCCTTGATGCTGATCTCCAGTGTCCTCAGCTGAGAACACAATCTCGCCTGCTCCGTCACATTGCCAAACAACTACACACACACACACACACACACACGCACACACACACAGACATCCAAGGGCATCCCTCCCTCCCTCCCCTCCCTGCCCACTCTGCTCACACACATACATATGGGTTGAAGACCGATGGGAACTGCTCCCACGATATGAAGGGCGAATTCGACGCCCCGTCGCCGATCAGACCCAGCGGCGATACCGGCAGCTTATCCTTCGACCGCTGCGGGCGCGACGGACTCGTCTGCCCGTCCTCACCGTGACGGTGGCCCGGCAGCAGACCGACCCGAGTGCGCGAGGACAGCCGGGGGTGGCCCGTCGTCGGAGGTGCGAAGGCGACACCATCGTGTGTTGCTGCCGAACTGATGAGGCGTGAGAGGGGGGTGTTGCGGGGTGAGGTGTGTGGTGCGTCGTCTGCGGCATGTGGCCGTTTTCTGAGGCCCTCTGGCGGCCCGGCATCAGCACCTGCATACATACATAATGTACACAACACACGGGCAATGCAATGTAATGCAATGTGTGTGTGGAGCTGCAATCAAAGTGCATGATCTGTATCCCACCTTGTGCAGCATCCCGCGCCCTCGTGACGGCAGTCCTCCCTGACCTATAGGGGTGCCTCATATGGCCAGCCGACATGTGCATGTCCGTCAGCTGGCCACAGGGCACACCGGTGCCAGTTGAGCCGATGAAAAGACAGGCAAGGAGGATGCCGACGAGGCAGATCTGCGCAGGCCTCGCTGGCATCTTCGGAAAGTCAGTCCACTACCCCGTGGCGTCAGTCAAGGCGCTGGGAGGGTCCAGATGGAAAGAGGCAGATCAAGTGCAGCAGATAGATAAGATGAGCAGCGTGAATGGATAGGCGATGGGGCAGGAGGGCAACAAGCTAGGGAGGCCTCCAAAAGGGGGACAAGAGGGGGGCGAAGGTGCCAAGCTCGCACTCGGCGAAGGGGGAAAAATCGAATAGAGCGTTACGTTGCGAATGATGGATGAGTCAGAGCAAACGACGAACGTCCTCGACGTGGGCTGTTATCAGATACAGGGAACTCGCCAATGTCAGGAAGACAGATTCGTGCGCGGCACCCTCCTGTGGAAGCAGCGCGCGGTAAGGACGGGCACACGCCTCCCTCGCCCCACACACGGCCTCACGAGGGCCGTGGGGTCGACACAAGAGAGCTCAGGAAGCCGTGCGATCCGGTATGTGTGTGGGTCGTCAGATGAAGTTGTTGGCTGTGTTGGATGGGCATGGGGGTTCTGAGGCGGTTGACTACGTCAAGAGCCACCTCATCGAGACCATAGAGGAGTTTATGCAGCGCCAAGCAGGTACTGTAACCAACAGGCACTCGACAGAACGGCTGCGGCTGCCTGGAGCGGTGTGTGTGTGTGTGTGAGGGAATAGAGTAACCTCAATTGCTAATTGTTGTTTCTGTGTGTGGTTTGTTTGTGTAGAGATCAACATCGACGCTGCGGTGGTGGACGCGTTTTGGGCTTTGGATCAGCGGCTGCGTGAGCACCTGAAGGCTCAGAACAACTCGAGCAACTCAACCGACTGCGCATCGAGAGTGAGCCACCGACCAAGCTAACCTGCAGTGCACCTCACACACATCCAGGGCTAATGCATTTGTTATGTATTTGTGTATTTGTTGGTTGTCTCCTTCCTTCCTTGCATCGAATGAATCGATTTAGTACACGTCTGGGACGACGGCCCTCGTGTGCATCATGGACGTCGATGAATACCACCTCGCCAACCTTGGCGACAGGTACGTACAGACCCCCAGCAGACAGACAGACAGACAGGCAGGCCGGTCTGGAGACGGATGGGTGTGGTACACTCACTGTATCTGTGGATGTGTGTATCTGTGGCTGGCTGCAGTCGTGCGGTCCTGTCGTACATGCGGAAGGACCTCAAGAAGTATGAAGACGTGCTCACACGCGACCACACGTAAGCTAAGCTTGCTCAATGACAGACGCCCGACCAACAACCCCTCTGTGCCCGTTGTTTCTTACTTATCGCCTCGCCTCGCCCAGTGCGAAAGACGCTGATGAGATGCGTCGTATTGGTGACGAGGGCGGATACGTGGAGACCATTGACGACGAGAGCCGCCTCCAGGGGTGGGTACACACACACGATACGCAACACAGAAGCCATGTAGCCTTCCTTCATCACATGTACAGCACAGCACATGTGTGTGCCATGCCTGTGTGGTCTGCAGTCAGTGGACGGTGACGCGGGCGTTTGGAGACTTCGATCGCCATGAGGACTACAGCAAGCCGGCCGGCATGTCAGCCGTGCCGGAGATCAAAGTCGTCTACTTCGAAGACGGAGGTACACACACAGAGACACCCACACACACGGACAGATGGATGGATGGATGGCTGGATGTGTCTGTGCCTGTGCAGCTGATATCATTGCGCATCAGTTTCTGCTGTTGGCGACGGATGGGCTGTTCGAACGCCTCGCCTTCTCAAATACACAGGTAGGCACATACCCCACAACCACACTCATAGAGAGGGGTACTGAGTGACGTATTTGGCCTGTTCCCGTCTGTCTGTGGTGTCTATCGTCGTCATTCGTGTAGGACTTGGCGTCGACGGTGCGACGATCGCTCAATCGGTCAAAACACACACACACACACACACACAGAGAGAGAGAGAG